GGCAGGAGGATCACTTGACTCCAAGAAGTCATGGCCAGTATAGATTTCATATATATATTAGAAACTATTGTATGCCATAGAAGGCAAGACAGGGTAGATAATATGAGATTAAGTCCTTCTGTTCTATGAAAATGCAATTAAAGTCTGCTCCGTGTCAAGTTAGGGGCAAGGGTTGGGGGCTCAGAGTAGACTGCCGCCATGCCCTGTTTACAAGGGGTTTATAGTTAGTCTAGTGAGACAGGCAGAGTGTCAATCCAGGCAGTTGAGAACATACCAAAGTGCATGAGGTGCATGAGGTAGGAAATGACAGGGCAAAGAGCAGGGCTCCTGGGCATGCCTCCCACGTATACCTCCTCGTCAATGGACCTTCAGTTACTATGGCAAGAGAAGGCAGAAGGCCCGAGGCCCACTCACAAGCATTTCATGCCTCCATTTGCATTCTGTCTGATGAGCTAACGTTGACCTACTTAGATACCTTTTTGGTTGTTGTTTTTGTTTTTTGAGACAGGGTCTCCCTGTAGCCCCAGCTAGCCTAGAACTCACTACGTAGACCAGGCTAGCCTCAGTCTCATAGAGATCCACCTGCCTCTGCCTCTGCCTCGAGTGTTGGGGTTAAAGGCATACACCATCACAGCCGGCTTTTAGATACCTCTTTTAATCATCACAATTCTGTTAGATTTTTATGTAAGCCACTTCACTTACTCCAGGACTGCAAGTAGCAGAGTCTAGTCTAGGCCAATCATGAGCCAAAGCCTGTGAGGTCAACCTTCCATAATACCACCTACATGCACTCCAGAAAAGAGAGCTGGGAAGCCAGTCCAGAGAAAGCTTAAAGTTTACGGAGGTGGCATTGAAGTTCACTGTGCCTGGCAAATGGACAGGCACTAACTCTCTGAGGATCATCCAAATGTGGGCAAAAGTATAGTTGGAATACAAACAGTTTGCGTTCAGTTAAGTCAATAAACAAAGGAAACCAACAAAGTGTTGCAAAGATCAGCACTGACTCCCAGGCCCTAGGCCTGCAGCTGGATCACTCTGGGGAATAAGGTCCTGGACTCTGGCCAGGTTATTAATTAAGCCCTAACCACCAAGGCTGAAGGAATTCCTTACCAATTAGTGGACAGCTGGGAGCCCATGGGACCTATGGCCTCTAGGAGGCTGTTCCTTTCAGTCAGAGGAACTCAGATAAAGGCTCCAGTGGGCAATGGAGACAGAGGAGTTGGAATACACACACACACACACACACACACACACACACATACACACACTTAACATTGAACTTAAGTGCATCACCCCATAGGATTCATTTTTACTTACCAAAAAAGTTATAAGCAGTGGGGTGTAGTGGCACACACCTTTAATTCCAAAACTTGGGAGGCAGAGGCAGGCAGATCTCTGTGATTTCTAGGCCAACCTGGTCTATACAGGGAGTTCCAAGTCAGCCACACACACACACACACACACACACACACACACATACATACACACACACAAACTTATTTAAAGTGAAGATTATGCATTTCCTAAACTTATGCCCTGTCAAGGACACAAGCGTTTCCACATTAACGTGCTTATTCCAAGTTTCAGTTTCAAGTTTTCACTCTTTACCTGAACTAAACATAGTATGAAACAAAAGAAAATTTTAAATTCCCAATCTCTAACAAATTTTATGAGAATGAGACAATTAGACACAAAATTTCCCCCACTTTACTAGCAATGGTTAAAAACAAAACAAAACCGTCCAAACACAGTGGCAGAGACACTGGTAAAGGGTCTCACATACGTAGTGCTCAGACTGCAAATTTATAAAACCTGCTGGAAGGCAAAGCTGTGAAGTGGCAATTCAATGATATGTTACATATAATAGTTCCTTTGATTCACTCCTTCTTCTAGGAATTTATTCCAAGGAGATAAGTAGACAAATGTTCTAAAGTCCACACATAAAACATGTTACTTATGGCATTACTAATAACACCAAATATTTAGAAAGAACCTAAATATCAACAAATGGATATTATTTAAGGAGATCAAGGTATGCTCTACAAGAGAGCCCTGCTGGCCTCACTAGAAGGATGGGAGCAGACTGTAAGGCATGATGTGGAAATTCTTTCGGATTGTTGATTGAAGAAAAGGCTTCCTGTCCCTCACTCTATCCACGAGTACAGCATCTACACGCACTGCACGGTGACAGGCAGAGAATGAGCTGATTCTGCACAGTGGCTCTGTGGGGGTATCTGGCAATTTTCTTTCTTCTTTCTTTAAAAATCTATATTATTTGAACTTTTATACTGAATATATGGTATCTCTACAAATGGAAAATCAACTATATTTAAAGGTCAAATGCAAACTCCTAAAGGTTACATAGATTTCCCAGAGAATGAGCAGCACTGAAATCAGAATAACAGCTGGTTTTCAGGAGAGTGTGGAGGGCGTTTGAAACCTGCTGCTAGACTTGCATGGAATGACTGGTCCTCTAAGCCAAGGAGAAGGTGGCAAAGCCCAGCACTTAGGAGCCTGGGTTCCAGTGCGAGTCCTTAGGCTCAAAGATCAGCTCTGCCATTTGCCAGGTAAGCAACTTAGGACAAACCACTTACCCTTCTGCCCCTCCATACCCTCATTTTATAAAGTGGGGAATTGATAGCATTTGCCTCTAAGAGTGTCATGAGGACTAAGAGTAAATGAAAAATACCAATCATGGTGCCTGGCACATAATCAATGGTCGTTACACACTAACACAAAAACCAGCTTCATACAATTGTGGCTTGTATGTGTTAGTGTTTTTGGATGACGCACCAATGAACAGTTAAAATAAAAAAAAAAGAAGGGAAAGGTTAATTAGGCAAAGGAATCCATAAAATTAGTCATGGGGATGTCTAGTCTGTGAAGTACAAGGTGCAGGGATGAATTCAGGCATGTGATGGTCTCACCAATCTCAGTTGCTCACTCTACAAAAATGGGGATCAAGTACAGGGGGTCATGTTGCAAATTTAATGCCAAATACCTATACAGCACTTGGTCACAGCCAGTTTTCATTACACACTTGTTACTATTAAACAATCATTATTATTTAACTGAAACAAGTAGTAAGTTCCTTGTCCCCACAAGTATCCAGACAGACTTAGCTACTACTTAAGAAAGGGGCTGCACCCCACTCATTAGGCAAGTACCCTAAACAGCAGGGTGGAGAGTGTTATAAACAGTTCCTCCTTAGGAGGAAAGAATCCATACTTGTGGTGGAGAGTGTTATAAACAGTTCCTCCTTAGGAGGAAAGAATCCATACTCAAGAAGCCAACACCTTGGTCTGTACAGTAAAGTGGGGGTGTCATATATATGATGTCTCTCTGAGACATCCTAGGAATGCCTAGGAATATTTGTCATGTACTTCCAGGCAGGCCGTGAACTCACCTTATCTCACACCACTTTGGTTTGTTTTGTTATGGCAAAGTTAGATAAGGACAGTCCCCAGCCTCACATTTCTCACATCTGGAGTGATTCCCCAAACATACCAGGCAGATCCCAAGGGACAGAGCCAAAACCTCCTGATTTGAAATTGCAGACATTTGGGTTCAAATTCTAGTTATTTACCCTCTATGAGTCTTGAGTTTTCTCATCAGTCCAAGAGAGATGATACCTCATAGATTTGTTGTAAGAATTAAATGAGATAGTTTAATGCTGGAAATACTGTGCAGTAGTATTACAGAGCACACTGTTTCAGTCCATTTCAGATTCTGGCTCTACCTCTAGTTTTGTATCTTTTAGGCCCATAACTTAACGTCTGTCCTCAACTGTAAAATGGGGACAATACTATCTATCACTGTAAGAGAGTTTTGTGATGAGTGAACAAGACTTGCAAAGTGCTTAGAATAGCACCTGTCATATCAGTAAATGTAAGTTGTTATGATTGATGTGGGGAAAATCCCCAGCATGGTAAAAATAAGTGTTCAATAAATGGTGGCTGTTATTGTTACAACATACACGTTCCTCAGAGAATTTCATGCACATTTATCTCCTGGAAAGCAATACAAATGAAGATGTTAAGGGGAAGTTGTGTCCTTAAGTAAATGTCACAGTCACAGCTAGGAGAAGCATGCGTTCTCTGGTCCCTGCGGGGTAATGAGGACATCCACCTGCCCTGCCCATGCCCAGGCTCTCCTCTGCTTCCTGCAGACCTGCCCTTCACTCATCCATTCATCCTTTTGGCACATGACCACTAAGCACCTACAGGGAGCCCAGAGGAGAGCTGGAAACCCAAGCACTGAACATCCTCTGGAGTAACAGGGTAGTAGGTGATACACATTAAATAAATGTGCACATTAATGACTATTTAGTGAAAGCTGTGACTTGTGTCATATGGGATGTGATGACATGGATCCCTTGTGCTACCATTTTATAGCCATGTCCACTTCTTCCTCTCCCCATCCTGGTAGTCATTAACATGCTGTCCACTGTAAGTCTGTCATGTCAAGAATGCTATGTACATGGACTCATACAAAGCAACCTCTTAAGGTATCTTCTTTTCACTATCCCATCCAAGTGGTATGTATATATCAATATGCTGTTCCTTTTTATTGTTAAATAATATTTCATGTGTTGGGTGTATCATAGCTTATTTAACCATCCATCTACTGAAGGAATTGTATCTGGCTCCTGTTTGGGGTTGTTGCAAAAAAAAAAAAAAAAAAAACCTGCTGTGAACAAAAATTTCTTTTACGAAAAGGGAGTAAGTAGAAAGTCATTGCACAGGCCCCTTAAAGAAGTGCTATTTCTGGTGGGCCTTCGAGGATGGAGAAGAGCCAGCTGCATGATGGCTGCCAGTAGAGGGAGGGAGGGAGGGAGGGAGGGATCCAGGTAGAGAGGCATTTTGTTTGAAGTCCCTGCACCCACAGGGCACCTGGCTCACTGAAAGCAGCAGCACAGCGGGCTGAATCCTAGACATTCGCACTCCTAAAAACTCAGCCAAGAGGCTAGAATTTGGTGACTGTGGTCTCTTCCCTTTCAGGTGCTCCTTGCCTGTTGGCAAAGGCTGTCTGGGCTCAGAGACTGACCCCACAGATCCAGCGATTGTGATTCTCAGCTCAACACCTCTGAAAGAGGCTGCAGATGTGGCTCCCTGCCCACATGTGAACTTCAGCCAAGACTCCCCTACAAGGAGCTCAGCCCTCTGCATCTCCTGGATACCTGAATTCTGCCCTGGTCACACCCTACTGGGTTTTGTAAGACTATTTAGGAAGATAAATTTCCCTCAGTAAAACACAGAGAATTGGAATGAAAAAAAAATAATGGCCCCAAGGGAAGAATTTGTGACTGACACAAGTGGGGAAGATCCTTTAGGAGCATCATGTATGGTCACAGCAGCAGAGCCCCAGGTCCTCTCCATCTCCGCCTATTTATATGCTACGACAAGAAGATGTATTTAAGGCTCCCATATTTTTGCATTAGAATTTGATGCTCTGGGAAAAGCAGCCATATGTTCTAGACATAGCAGGTTTCTATTGGAATTCACACATTCTGAGTGTGGCACTATCCTCCAAATGGTACTTTTATTGTCTTTTTTCTTAAGATAGCAAGCTTCTTCTAGGGTCAGGACTGCCCCCTGGCATTCATTGATACACCATCCATCAGCTCTCTTGGTAGGTCAGGCATCTCAAGTTAGCCTAACTCGCCATTCGTCTTCATACTAATTATGATTGCAACGGCATGATATTTCAACTACAGGGGACACATTACAGATAGCTCCTACGTGGAACAGTCAGGCTGGGAATGGCCGGCAGGGCTACTTGTACTAAGAGGAGAGGACGGCTAGCTCCTGTCTGGCCATTCTCCTCGTTTGAGACATCATCATTAGATGCTGCTCTAAAGACCTAAGGGAGATGTGCCCAGGACAAGTGCATGGTCCCGTTCCTTCCCACTGAGGCTCAATGGCCCAGCAAAGCATGAAAGTGAGGCCTGTGCTGCTGAAGCGAAACAGTCTTGAGTCGGTGGAGCTTCTAAAACAACCTCACCACCGCAGGAGCAAATCCCAGCAAGTGCGATTCAAGGAAGATGGAAACACTAAGAGCCCAACCGGACTAACCGAGGTCGATGGCCAACCTCCCGAAGACCCAGGTGTGATGGGGAAGACACAGACATCCAGGCACCATCACCCTCCTACCTACTCACTGTCCTTCCCCAGGTCCCACAAGGCAGGGGGCTCTCGGAGCATTTCCATCCAGACCTCCCCCAGTCTCAGGAAGCATTTCCCAGTTTTCAAAAGGAAGAAACTCACAGCTAGCAAGTCTCTGGTGGAAATGCCAACAGCATCCCCAAGTGCCATCCAGGTCAATGGCAACCTCTCTGAACAGGACATCGTGTCCTCTGACCTTGCCTACCTGAAGCTGGCTCAGCATCTTGAGGATGGGCCTCGAAGGGTCAAAATGTCCCACCCATTTCCTCCTAGGATGCCCAAGGTGCAAAGCAATGGACCTGTTAGCATCTGCCTTGAAGCTGGGACTTGGAGAGCCTTGGAGAAAACAACAGCTGCCATTCAAGTCCCAGATGATATTTACCACAGTCCAACCTGGGACACTGGAGAGCCTGCTTTCAGGCCAGACAACTCAGCTGAAGTCAGCAACTCCCTACCCCCTTTGGTCACCACGTGTCCAGGTGATGAGAAAAGAGTGCCGACATCAGATTCTGAAAGATCTCCCTCCTGCTTAAATGCCACCAACAGTGCCAACACCATGCCAGGCACAGGGAAACTCACACCTGAATTACTTTTGTCCAAAGACATCTCCGATGACACAGACCTTGGCCCTTTCTCATCTCAATCAAAGAAAACATGTGTTCCCTCACCACCACGGACTCACAGCTCCCCTACACCTGGCTCCCACAGCCAGCCAGTCCATGCAGGAAGAGCCTCAGATTGTCTAGCATTAAGTGACAATCACCAGGATCTGGAATCACTCAAAATTAGCAGTGCGTCTAAGTCTGCTGTCATGTATCAGGAGCAGGTGACAAAGCTCCCTGGCCTGTCAGACAGCCCAGAGCTTCAGACTTTTCTTGGAAGTGATCACCTCTCTTTCTCCCTTCCGAGGCATGAGAGCAAACCTCAGAGCAGTAGAGAAACTGGTGGTGGTAATCATAGTCACCTGGCACGGGGGGAACTCTGTGACCTCCAAGGCCGGCTACAATCTGTGGAAGAGTCTCTGCACTCAAACCAAGAGAAAATTAAAGTCCTACTGAATGTGATTCAAGACTTAGAGAAAGCCCATGCTCTCACTGAAGGGTAAGGTGAATTTCTTTGTGTTAAAAACTACTGGGTGAGGTTATCGGTTGGGAAGGGATAGAAAGTGAGTGTGGGTCACCATGAGCAACACATTTCCAAGATGTTCGAGGTCTGTTCTTTCCCCACAATGACTAACACCTCTATCGGCTCTGCCTGGGTCTTGTTAATCCTTTGCTTTTGGGGGCTCTGGGTAGACTCCTTTTGTTATGTGCTTTGTTTCCAGCTGTCAACAGATTGAGGAAAGGGACCAGTGAAACCCAGGAACAAAAAATGACTTTTTGGTCTTTTTGAGGCAGGTCTCCCTGTAGCCCCAGCTATCCTAGAACTCACTATGTAGACCAAACTTATTTTTAGACAGGTGAGGATCCAGTTGATAATTGATTGAGGGAGTAACAGCAAGCAAGAACTTCCCATCCTCTGAATTAACTACATTTGCATTGTTTTAGTTCTATGTGTGTTTGTCACAAAGGATTTGAGGTGGCCACTAAGCTAGGCTTCCTCTCTGCTGACTTGGGACTATCGGCCACTCATGAGAATGGGGCCAGAGATCTGCAGAGAAGAAAATCATGGCATGCTTTTCTGAATGACAGGTTCAGCAGTGTGTGTAGAGGGGCAGGTAGTATTTGTTGAGGTGTAGATTGCTCATACCTCTAGAAAGACTAAACACCAAGAGAAGGCAATGGCTGAAGCGCATCAGAGTTGGAAAGAAAAGTCACTAGCTGGCAGTGGCCAGTAGGAATTAGAATCCATACTGCTTAGGAGACAGGGCCCTGTGATGACAGAGAGAAACATGAGTTTCCATACTGTCCTGTATTCACTTGAAAAATGCCTCATCTTTCAGGATGCTGAGCAGTAAAATCACCTGAGATTTTAAAGTATTAAAGATGTACCAACCCCTCCAGAAATGTGAAGTCTCACTGTCACAAGCTCCCTGTTTTCCTTGTTTGTAATGGTCACATAACTTCAGGGCATCATGGAAGCTGAGCTGTGGGGCCTAAGAGATGGGTTGGTAGAATGTGTGTTTCCTGTGGCTTTGGTCCATGAATTTAAGGTGCATATCTTCTGTCTTGTAGACGCAACTTTTATCGAACTGGCCAAGATCTCAACAACTGTAGCACCTGCCAGAACACAGCGTGCATCATATACAGGTACCAGCCCCGCACCGAGGTCTTCTCTGCAGGGCGCAAAGTCAAAGGTCCACAGAACATGCTAGCAAACTTGCCTAAGAATGGAAATCTGGAAGAAACAGATGAACACCCGAGTCTTAAAGCACAAGGTGTTTGTGAACTGTTCACATCTGGTTCTGAGGTGGGGGCTGCTGTTTTCTTAACTCTAGAGTCTAGGGTGCAGCCCTCCACACCCATAGGTGACCTTGAACACAGGCACCCAGCTAGCTCATTGTACATATCTGCATCTGAAGTATTAGTCAGGAGGTGGGTACTACGGTTTGGGGAATTTCAGCCATTTGCCCAACTCACGTAGGGCATTTTCTTAAGAGGAGAAGAGATCAGCCTCAAGACTCACATCCAGATCTTTCTCATTCCCAGTCTTTGAGCTCCGTTACTTTGTCCCACTGCCTCGTCCTCCACTATAGCTCTCTCTGCCAGTCCTATGTGTTAACAACTGTGCTGAGTACTTTGTATTCCTTTCTAAAAATGCTATTTCCTTCCCATATAGGGCAAGGCTGTAGTAAAAGGGATGATTAGGACTGGTACAAATGTAACACCAGATAGTGGTAAGAGTACCAAACTTAGAGCAAGCCAAAAGTTCCATTTGAATCCCCAAGCCTAATGTCAATCTGCTTGGCTTTGTCTCATTTTCCTTGGCTAGAGAGTGGGAACAATGATTTCTATTCAGAATTGCCTTAGGACAGTGATACATTAACCTTTGAATGCCGAATGCCTGTTGGAGCTGCAAAGCTTTGCACACACCCAAGGCCCACCGCTGTTATTACTAGAATGATCCATGTCTCCTCAGCTGGAAGCCCACTTTGGGTAGCACAGCGGAAACATGGTCAGAGCAGTCATTTCAGTTGATGACATCTAATTTGGTTTGACAAAAATGTATGGTTTTGCTTTCTGCATGACTTTTCTCTCTCCAATGAAAGTAAGGGCCTGAGCAAGCTGCTGCCTTGTTGGGCTGCCTGTGTCTTCCTTCGGAGGCTTCTAATTGCCCCTGGCAGCATCTGAGATCTCATCCAAGGAGGCACTGTGCACCTGAACATCATCCTGGGCTTACATGGAAGCAGGGCCTTGGGCATCTGTTTTCTCACTGAACCCATCAGCTCACATAGAGGACCACATATTTTCACAGGAGACTTAAGATTGTTCACTAAGCAACTCCCAAAAGAAAAGCACACCTTTTACTTCAAAGTGAAATCCTGCCATAAAATGGGGTTCTCGAGAAAGGCCTGTGGAACTACAAAGTGCAATAGCAGCCTCATCAATTGCTACCCTTTCTTTGGCTTCTTTTATTTATGTCTCATATCTTAAGCAAATTAATCCTAATTACCAAGAGGGCAAAAATTATTACATGTCTAGACGGAGAGGGAGGGTAAAAAAACTATTCGTAAGCAGGAGGAATTAATTTGAACTAACCCCCACTTACATTTCGGACAGTCTTCCTTCAGGTAGTTGAATGACGTGTATTCTATTACCTTAAGTGATTTTTTAAAATGTCTTATCTTAGTAAAAGGGCAAGTGGTTATTTTCTAGTCTACCATGAGTTTTGTGACCTTCCCCTAAGCAAGTCATTTCTGGCTTCTGAGCTCTCCTCATTTGAGAAATGAGAGCCTTTAATTAGATGGTCTCAATGGTGCCTTGTAGTTCTGACAGTCTGTTATTCTAAGGTGAATTAAAAGTGACAATATTTGGTTAGACTGTGACCTTCCACCAAGTCTGAGAATGTTGGCATTTTTCTAATACTTACTTCCAACATCCCAAGCAAGCATTCTACAGAAAGTTAATTCCAGCTGGCTTTGTACACCTTCATGTCCTCCTCCTGTTCCAGGAGAACAAGCATCATTTGCAGTCGGCCCTCAAAACACGTGGCCCTCATTGCCATTCAAAGCCAGACTGTCCTCCCAGACAGTATCTGTACCCCTGCATCTAAACCACTGTGAAGGAGCGGGCAATTAATTTGATGAAAGCAAGAAGATCAGAACAGCATCTCTGCTATGGTAACAGTGAGAAGATGAGAGTTGTCATTTTTTTTAACATTTCAAATTACTTCAAACTTGTGTTGTGTCCTGGAAAGTCGGATCTCAGAAGCTAATGAATAAGTGATGTGAAATACTCATCCGCAGGTCTCTGTCCCTGATGACGATGGGTCCAGTACCCATCACTGTACATGAAGTACATGGTGCATGATGGATTGCTCGTGAGGCCTTTCTTCCCTAGAGATGTTGCTAAGTTAGCAGCACATAAGGTTCACTAAGTGGTGCTGCCCACAGGACTCATCAGCCAAAGGCAATGGCTTCCTGCTCCTCTCAAGACACATGATGTCATTGGTTCTATCCAACGTACCCTCTCTGGCCCCTAAGCTACCTTTGGTTTTTCCTCTTGCCAGGGATTCTCCCTTAAGTAAATCCAATATCACCAAAGAGCACAGCACCAATACTGATGCCTAGAGACCACAGGCATGGCTCTCTAGGGCTTCAGAGGATCCATATACCAGAGAGAAAGACTTGAGTTTCTTTTTGGGTTTGTTTGAGTTTGCAGTACCGGGGATTAAACCTAGGGCTTTGCGATGCCAAGCCAGCACAGTAGCACTGAGCTATACCCCCAGCTCTGTATTTTTCTAACTGAACTCCCAGAGGAGGGGTGGGAGTTGGCTGTACCCTACCTTAAGCTGGTTTTCAGGCTGCTCAGTCTCCATTTGCTTTCCCTAAACTTTAATCCCAGGTCAATTTACTCAAAGGGTTGTATGAATGCCACTGGTGGTTCCCAAGGTTAAATAACACTGAATTACCTACTAAGAAACTTGTTCTCTTTTCAAATTTATTTCAATCCTTCTGATTACCCGGAAGGGAAAATCTCTGCTAGGTGTTGCTGTTTCAGTTCTTTCTAATGCATGCTTATCACGTTCCTTTGCAAAGAGAGAGCCAAGAGCCGGCCTGCCTCTGTCTCAGGTTCATGGCCCTGGGGAAGCAACAGTATACAATCAGAACATAGTATTTTAAACTTTATTGAAGCTTTTAACTTACAAAATTAATCCTCTTAAATATTCATGAGGAATGATGTGAGTCTCCATTTCTGAAATGATACTGTTTGATTTGTGTAACTGTTTAAATTTAAAATGTCAACCGATTTAGAGAAGAAAAGATTAGGAAAATAACTGTGAAAATGCTGTGGGGAATCACAGGAGTGACCATGTGTAGTGGGGCACCCCAGTACTTCCAGCACTTGGGAAGCTGAGGCAGGAGAATTGTTGCTAACTCAAGGCCATAGTGGGCAGAAAGAGCCCCACAAAGGTTTAAGCCACTGCTTGAAGTTTAGAAGACAGCGTGATCCTTTTCTTCTTCTCAAGGGCATGAGGTCCCTGTGAGATGCGTCCCTCCCCCTTCCCTCACCCTGTGCCCTGCTTCTCCAGCCATATCTGCCTGCATTTCATCTTCACATTCACTCTAAAAATAGTCAGCAGAGCCTCTTTGGAGGACTTTGGCTACATGGCTCATGCATTTAATTTCCAGATGTAGCTCCCAGGAAAAATCTACTTGATTTAAGTTGTAAAATGCCTTAAACATTTTCAGGGAAAATAACAGGATGTCTTCCCCCCCCCAAAAAAAATTTCCATCTACCATCCAAGCATGTTGCTTAGGTGGGTGAAGGGAAATGTTGGCCATGTAATATTTGAGCTAGGGGAGGGGGTAGGGGTTAGATGAATAGTTTGGGGCTATCTGGAAAGGATGCTCAACTTCCTATCCTCAGCCTCTTCTCATCCCTTCAATGACACCCATGGACTTATATCTGTCACACTTTCCCTTACCCCTTTGAGATGATTTTCTCTATGTATGTTTTAGATATTCATACACACACACACACACACACACACATGTGTAATTTTGAACTAACTACATACATACACATGCTTAGTGTCTATCAGTTTCCTTTGACTGCAACAAAATACCCGAGGCAACTAATAACTTTAGCTCATGGCTCTGGAGGTTCTAGTGCAAGCTTGGGCAGCCCCATTGCTTTTAGCCTCTGGTAAGGCATCATGTCATGGAAGGAAGGCATCATGACAAAACAAACCACTTACACCATGAGCCAGGAAGCAGAGAGAGATTGAACTGAAGTTCACAGTTCCCTTCAAGGACAAGCCCCCAGTGACTCAAGAACTTCTCATAAGGCCCCACCTGCTAAAGATCCACAGGAGCCCCTAATTCCATCACCCTGGAGCCAAACCTTTAACACATGGACCCTGTGCAACAGTCATTGAAACCACAGCAATATCCTAAGTCCATGCTCTACTCTTCATTTTCCTTTAGAAAATTAATTCCCTTCCCACATTATTTTAACTCCATAAAGGTTCCCAAGCCTCCCATCACTTGTCATTTGCTCTTTTCCTTACAGCGTACATCGAGTTGGCTACTAACTCTGCCTGCTATGTCCAGCCCCCACATGCCAGCTCCCCTGTTCTGACTAAGCAGAGATCCTCATCATTTGTCAATCAAATGCTCATTCGTCTTTTTTCCCAGTAGGCCCTAAGTACTCCTCCATGTACATTGCTAAATTATGCCTGAAAGAAGAATATAGCCACCTTATTGCCCTGCTAAACAGTCTTGCCCTGGTTCCCATTGATTTTAGCCAACTTCTCAAGGTATGCTAGAGTCTTTTACCTGCTGTGTCTTCAGTTACTCTTGGCTGAATGTCCCATCATGCCTCAGTCCCTTTGCACATATTCCCCCTACTTTTCTGGACTATTTCCTGTTCCATGATTCTTTGTCTGGATAGTCCCTTGACTTGTCAGAAAAGCCAGTTCCTCCCCAAGAAGGACCCAAGAAGGATGCCATGGCCTGCTCCTCTGCTATGCCACTGACCCTAATCAATTGTAACTCAGTGTTAGATTTTCTTCCTCCAGTACAGCACCAGACCTTCAGTTACTGGCCAGTGTGTAGTCATAGCTGCTGCTCAACAGCAGCTTATGA